GTTTTGGCTTCGGAATTAGATCGGAAAGGATCTACAGTGATCTTCAGCCCGGGATTTTCTTGACATAAGGAAACCCACCAATAGCAGATGCTTTTATCGAAAACAACAATTTGATTTCTTTGAATCTTTCATATAATAACTTTGGTTCTTCGGGAGGGAAAGCGTTAGCAAATGCTCTTTGCAATAACCATATGCTAGCTACTTTAGATATTTACTATAACAATCTTGGGCTTGAAGGTGGTAAAGCATTAGCATCTGCTCTTTGCAAAAATAAAGAGTTGAAATCATTAGATCTTTCTTATAATAAACTTGGAAATGATGTGGGAAAAGAATTAGTAGAAGTATTTCACATGAACACAACTTTAACCACACTGGTAATGAATTTAATCCTGAAATAGCGAAACAATTAGAAGAAAAAATAAAAAGTGACAATTTAGATATAGGGTTGGATTCTTATAATTCCAAAAATGATAGCACCGTAACTGTTTGTTGATTGATTTTACAATTTTAATGATATTTTGTTGTATGAGAAAATTTATTTTGCTAGTTAGTAATGAAAATTAAATAATAAATCATATGAGTTTCATTTAGTTCTCTTCAATTTCATTGAAAATAAAAATCCCATGACTTTCGACCAAATTCGGTTGGAATGGGTCGGATTGATAAATATTGCCAATTAAAGTTTGAATTAGAGATGTGATATCCAATATACAGGGATTTACTATGCTTATACAAGTGCCCGGGTATGGAGCCAGTAAACCATTTTAATCAAACTCGTACTAGGTATATTTGAAAAACTCGTTATTTGATTGTATTTTTAGTATTAAAATAGAGTATATATAATTTTATCCGGTTTTCTCAAAACCGGTTTATAAATATTTAAATTAATTTATATTACTTATATAAAACCGGAATTAAACTTAAAGTTAATTTTTATATTATTACCAAATTTGGATTGAAAAATCGTAAATCATGCAGCTTCTATTCATTCAAATTAAAGTAGTTTTTTTTATATAAAAATTTTGATCTGTATATAATTCAAAAGAGATAATCTCTTAGTAATTTATGAACAGTTAGAATTTTCGGTCTTTGTTTAGAGCAACATACAAAATAAGATTTTCCTCACCATATCAGACATATCAGTATCAGGATTTGACGCGATATTACGCGATATTGTTACCGATACATGCGATTTTGAAACCTGAAAAGTTACCTGACATGAGATTCTGCCAAACTACAAGTCTATTGACTGACCCTTGTGCTGATTAGTTTAAAACTAGATTTCTAAAATGATTTTAAGGAGATATTTGTTACTGAAGCACACGATTTAGATGCCAGAAAAGTTTATCATATAGATGGCTCCGTCAAAACTATCAAAACTAGCAAGTCTATTGACTGCACCTATGCAGTTCGCCCATTGAAGTTTGTGAATACCTTAACGAAGTAAAATTTCACACGATATTAATGTAAAATTTCATGCGACATTATTTATTAAGTCAAATGACAAATGAAGAGTTCACACTACTGATAATTATACAATTTCACGCGATTCTGGGGTTAGGACATATTACTGCATTTATGAAAGTCTTTGTGAACAAAACTTGTAATAAACTAGGCCAGATCTTCAAAGTACACGAAGGTAAGTTTATTCGAATTCACAATAACAAAACTAAAATAATTTAATAATGAACGGACTTTTGAAAAAATATTTACTCTTAATAAAATTTATAGTTCGTGAAATTAATTATTGTATAATTCAGCACGTGATATGATAAAGATTTATGATTTTTTGTTATTCAAGAAAATTCTTGTATGATGTAAAATTATACTTTAGAAATATTAATTAACACGTATAAAAGACATATATCAATATTTTCAACCTTTATTCTAAAGTTTCATATCAAAATAAGCATTAAATTTCTAAAAGAAAAATAGAATTTGTATGAAGATAATGAAAAATCATCTTTTTCTGCGGCTAAAATATTTTAAAATGTATTTTCATGACCTTAGATCTAACTTGTTCCTTAATAATAAACGAGCTTTGCCATAAAATGAATAATAATTCTTATGACAAATTCTAAACAAATTTTTATAAATTTATAAACATCAACTAAAAAGAAACCAAAGAAATCTTCCAAGCATATTTTAACATCTTCAGCAGATTCTATTACTTCCCTCGATGGTTTTAAAAGAGATTTCACAAAGTAAGACAATGCTTCAGCAAAATTACTCATGTACCAATAACAAATTCTACCGAATTGTAAAATCTCAAATGTTCCATTCTTATTATATATGGCCACTTCCGATGGAGTTTTAATATCTATTAATGAAGAATTTTATTATTAACCAAAATTATACTTATAGCTATACGAACATGGTAGCATACCCGGTTTTTCTTTACTAATAATTAATGCCAACAAAGTCACAAATAAAGTAGCAATCATAAAGATTTTTGTAAGAAATAGTACGAAGTTCATTTTTTTTGCAAGAAATAGTAAGAATTTCATCTTTCATCAAAAACAACGTGCAATCTTGCAAAAAATGAATCAGCCTATATATGATAAAAATTCATATAAAAAATGTAAATTAAAAGATAAGTTCGTAAATATCACAGATTAGCAATTTTATTTTACAGTGTATTTTATTTACATAATTTGATTGAATTTCTAAATTCAGTATTGAACAGGTTTGTATTTATGGTTTTTAATGTCATATAACTTTTGCCTTTTTTAAGCTATTCACATCGAGGAATTTTATGAATCGAAAATCGAGAATCTGATGATTATTTTAAAAATTTATATTTCTTACATGAATATAAAAATTAGCAAAAAATCCTCGCATGTTGCGAGACTATTTTCTTATATCCTGAGAATATCATGTCTAAAAAAAATCGCATTTCTGTTAAAGAAATCCAAAACAAAAATGTCGAATTTCTTCCAGATGAATATGAAAATTACCGCAGAATCCTGGATTTCATCGTTGAGAAAGGTGTTTTATTTTGTAAACAGAAAGCTGCTGTTCGTAATCAATTGTTAGAATTGAGTCAAAGTGATGATAAGATTATGAGCGCTGCCTACCGGTATTGCACCGAACTATGCAAGCAACAAATTCAAACCCAACTGCCCCTGCAAATATACAACAATATAGCTATCAAAAACGAACCTAACAAATCAGAAATCGAAAAAACACCTATGACTATTCAAGAACCTGAAGACTCTCGCAACCCTAGGAACTTTTTCTTGAAAAAAATCTCATTATGTTTCATGTTGATAATTATTTTACTTATTATTGCCGGATTATTTTATTATGTAAGCGTGCAATGCCTACAGTTTTAGATACACTCATTTATAATATGTTAACGTTATTTTATTGTTTTTTTTTTGCAGATAAAGAACGACAGTGATATGACAGACATTGTATGTAAATATATATTTACTTATTTAATATTTCTCATTCCTATACTGAGTATATTTTATTAGAGGAAAAAGGTTGAAGAATTTAAGAACAAAAATCACGCTATAGAAAACATGCTATTGGTTATGAGAAATGAACACGAAAAAAAAGAGGAAATGATCGCGTATTTGGAAGCTGAAATACAAAGGAAGGAGAGTCAATATAACAAGTTAAGCTTCGAGTTCAATAAGATTGTCAATATTCTAGAATTGGAAAACGACGAAAGACATCAAATATTGAAAAAAATCAAGGCGGAAATCGATAGTTGTTCAGATACATAGCAGTTTTGATGGGCTACATTTCAGCATTTACATGTAGATAAGCGACCCAATTAATTTTTTCGGCCTAAATTATGTTTAATTTGGGCCGAAAAAATTGATTGGGTCACATATCTAGTCACATATCTATTTACATGTGATAAGTTTAAAGCATGTGATTACATTTCTGTTTTTTTTGTGTAAGAAATTCATATTTGATAACACACACAGTGTATAAAAATTGCTTATTTTTAATATAACATAATTGGAAATAAAATGTGTTATCTCGAGACTGAATATTTTTTCTTTATATCAAGTTTTGATAAAATACTTAAACAAATTCGATTAAAAAATTTTCAAATAGCATATTTAGTAGATAAGTGAACAATAGCGATAGGGTATGAAGTAGAGATGTGAACCGAACATTGAACAGATAATATAAATAATCTATGGGTTACTTTAAACTGGTGAATATCCATAGATTTAAAGTAACCCGTAAATTATTTAAAATTTATGGGTCGCGTCACTAGTACGAAGACTTTATTTCCGACCGGAATAAACTTTTAATGTTTTATTCTAAAATAGTGCGAAATTCAAACAATAAAAATCCAATTGTTACTAAGAAAAACGTCAAACCAGCTCTATTACAATTCAAATAAGCTTAATTTTATTGGTATATCTTTATTAGTTCTTGAGTTATTTAAAATTTACTAAATTTTATTATAATATCGGGAAAACCATTTTTATTAAGATTCACTAATGATCTTGTAAAATCATATAAGATTTCACCCCCCCCCCCCCCCCTAAGGAACCGTCGATGCTACACGCATTTCTCTGTGAATTTATATTAATGAGAACGCGCTAAATAAATTAATGGACAATAATAATTAAAGCAAATACTAAAGTATTAAATTTCGATATCTACTTCTAAATGGCATGAAATTTAACAATATAAATCAGAAATTAGACGACGTTGTTTGTCTTTTTTTTTCTTTTTTTGTAAAATTGGTGTATTAAACGTTGGGACATTATAATCATTCAAACCACTTCTGCTAGTTAAATTCTCTAATTCATCAAATTCATTTTCTTTATCTTCGTCTTCGTTATTTTTATTTTCATAACATTCACTTTCTTCATCTTTACTTTTATTATCTTCACTTTCATAATTTTTACTTTCATAATTTTCACTTTCATAATTTTCACTTCCTTCATCATCCTCATCCTCTTCATATTCATAATTCATGTATTTTTTTGCTTTTTTAACAAATTTTATGTTTCAATAGTTTCCTCTATAAGATATTTAAAGGTGTGCACAACTTTAATTAATTCTAATAAATCCGATCCCTTTTTAAAAGGGATTTCAATCTTCTCATTCGGAACATCGGTAAATATTTTTTATCGAACATTAAAAATTCCAACTTTGTCCCTAAATGAAAAATTAGATTTAAATTTTAAATAAATAGAAACTTCCTAAATATTAAAAATTTTACTAACCATGCGAATGCAATAAAAAGAGTTTTAAATTCGTTAAATTAAAATTTGGTTATCTAAAATAAGTTCTTGATATACTATCAAATGAATCCTCTGCTCCTTTTCTTAATTTATTTCTGTCTTCAATTGAATGAATATGAGTTTCGTGCCCATGAGATATCTCACCAAGCATGAGTCCTATATCATAGTTTTGCCTTTGCACACACCAAAGATATCGTATAATGAAGTTCTGAACAGTTTAAATCGATTGTTAGATGTTCCGTACTTGTTGAAAGTTCGAAGAATACCGTAAACGCGCTGAAGAATAGTAAAATGATAGAGTTTTAGTTGATCTAACAAGATTAATCCTGGCAATAAGAAGGCATTAGATTGTTTCGTTCTTATGAGTAATGATGAAGAGAATTCATATCATAAATTGAAGAAATATTTTGACAAATGTATTAAATAAATCCGACCTAGATATGTGACCCAATCAATTTTTTCGGCCCAAATTAAACATAATTTAGGCCGAAAAAATTAATTGGGTCCCGCCCCTTAAATTATTATAAAAATTACATAAAATTTTTTTGTAAAATTTTAAAATAAACGGGAGTTGAATATTTGATTTCTATGAAATCAAAACGCGCGTATTAATCAGACTTAAATATATTGATATGTTAACAGATCACGTGTACGAACTGTTACATGTAATTCTATTTTTCTTTGGGTGTTTCTATAATTTCCTCGGGGAAAAAAATAACCCCAGAATAGATAAGCGACCCAATTAATTTTTTCGGCCTAAATTATGTTTAATTTGGGCCGAAAAAATTGATTGGGTCACATATCTACCCCAGAAGCAGGTACCGCAGAAGCTTGTCACTAGAGTAGATAAGCGACCCAATTAATTTTTTTGGCCTAAATTATGTTTAATTTGGGCCGAAAAAATTGATTGGGTCACCCATTATTTTTATCGTTACACATGATCCCATATTTATAATCGTATTGTGCTTTACTGGCTTTCATTCCGATTGGCTAATTTTTCATACCTGTCTCGAAATAACGCTCCGGGGTGTAGGTTAAAATTTTGGCCCGACTTAAGCTTAATTTAGGCTTAATTCGGCCAAAATTTTAACCTACACCCCGGGCGTTATTTCGAGACAATATGGTATGGGTGGATTTTTACAATTACGAATTAACTTAGGGTTGGTGTAGACTAATTACTTCATTATTATAGAATATCAGGGTTAGTGACAAGATAGAAATGGTTCGCATGACATCGGACTAAGACAACGAAGCAAAAAATAAACTTCTTAAAAAGTTTTAATTTGGTTAATTCAATAAACAAAGTAAATAAAGAATTATTCTACGGTGTAGTTTAATATTTTGGCCTGAAACTTGAGACATTTACGGTCCAATTGGTCACGAGCATACGGTCCAAGGAATCCATTCCAATTCGTACCATATCCGTACAAATCCGATCTTGTCCCGTGCCTATCCGACGCCAACCCGTGCTGATCTGGTCCGATTTCAATTTTCGGCAGAATCTGCCGTTGTGAAGCTATATTATGATTTTTAAAACTTTGAACGAAGATATCTCGGTACTGATTCTAATAAAAGCTTGCAAATTCGTAGAATTCGAATTAAGAAACTAGTTTACATATCAAGATTTAAAACGCTTAATACCACAGGCTTCTATTCGGATGATTCGTTACGTTTCATTTTTTATTTATTTGTTTTACGCGTAATATTAATCATATAAAAATTCTAACCTACATTAAGTTTCACTCATTTTGTTTATAATTACATATGTAAGTTACTAAGTTACGTCAGTTAAAATTTAATTTATGAAAGTTAGGATAACTTACTGTAAGTTATGCAACCCTACACATGGCAATATTAAATATAACCGGCCAAAATCATCCAAGAAAATAAATTCAGCAAAATTAAGGATAGGAATGATATCTTAAGGTTTTCCCAATCTGATTTTAGTTTGAATAGTTATTTAATGCGAGAATTTGCAAAGTTCTTAATGCTTTACGTCATTTATTAGATATCTAAATAACAATTCGCAAACAAATACAAAAATAAGGAAAATAGTCCTTTATGGATACGGATTTGATTTTATTCAAAACAAATTTAACATTTAAAACAATATGAATCGATCTCGTTTTTATATACAAGAAATTAAATCACTCTTATGAGCTAAACTCGAAATCTGACTTAGTTTCCTTATAATCCGATCTTATACACTCTATCAAGTGTCTTTTTATCTAAGTTATTGGAGATTACCAAATTTTTATCATCCAACTTTGCTTGTAAATATCTACAGTTTTGTTCAAGAGAAATAATTTTGTCCTATTTTTTAAAATTATTTGCATCTAGAGATAAAGTAATTTTATTAGCATTTATTTTAGAGAACTAATAATATTAATTTAACGTAATTTCATACATTTTTGGATCAATGCATTTTTATGATTCAAAACTTCACGAAATTTCATACATTCTTGGATCAATGCATTTTCATGATTCAAAACTTCAATAAATTGTTCGTAGAAGTAAGCTTTCCAAAAGAATAGATAAAAATTATTTTCATTAAATTAACTTTACAAACATCAATTAAAAATTATACCATATTTATTTAATTTCCTATACAGTAATACACATTCATACTTTAGAATTTAAATGAGAATATTGACAAGGTAACAAAGAATGATATTTACACTTTTGCACTTTTTAATTCTTCACCCAAACTGAAGTTTTCAGCAGTTAAAATTTCCAATTCTTCTTTCAAACTAACGTTTTCAGCAGTTAACTGTTCTAAAAGAAAATGAATGACTTTATTAATATTTAGTGAAATATTTAATTGCAAACAGAATAACAAGATCACCTATTTGAAGCATTTCTAATTATTCTTTCAAAACGACGTATTCAGCAGTTAACTGTTCTAAAAGAAAAGAATCACTTTAGTAAATATGACCTAATTTATTTTGCGCGTTTTTCTCAAAAATACCTAGTATTCAGAGAATGATCTTTCTTGATGTAAAAAAGATAAAGAATAAAGGTGAGGAACGATGTCAATTTAAGAAATTTCTATTCAAATAATTTCTCATTCAAACAAGATAAATGTGTATATAATTTTCAACAATTATAATTTCAGTTCGATGAATACAAAGACAAATAAGTTTGGAACTTTATATAATATACTGTATATTATATATAACTAGAAAACGCATAACTTATTAGTAAAAAAAACTGGTTTCACAACAAAATAACAGTATATTATATTTATAAAGGCAATAGGATCTGCAAAATTAATATATGCGTACAGTATATATATATATAGCTGACTATTAAACTAATTATAATATATATATATAAGTTATATATACCTTTTTGTCTTTATATTTAAAATTTTTTTTACAAAATAAATTATATATTGTATATCTTACCTCAAATATTCGGCAACATGTTAAATATAATCGCGATTCACAAAACATGGCTATATGCTAAATACAGAAAAAAGCCTGTGAAGTATGTCTAATTAGATCTAGGCTTTGAGACTCGTTCTTATTTAAAAAAGTGGGATCTAATTGTTTCGACAAAAATTTTATCATAATGAGTCGCAAAATTAATGCTCATTTTATTCTTGTAATTCTCATATGTATAGGAATTCAAAGTTTAATGAAGATTGAGAATAAAAATCGACATGAAGACGAAATTTGTGCTAAAGAAGAGATGTTATTGTTTATGAAGAATGAAATTCATCGATATGAAGATAAAATTCGTGCCATAGATGAGATGCTATTGTTTATGGAAAATGAAATTTATCGATGTGATAAAAAATTAGATGCGGTTGGTGTTTTATTTTTTTTTTTCTCAAGTTTTTTTTATTTTCATATTACAATACAGGATTGACTTAATTTTATATTAAAAAGAGTGATGAAATGTTATTGAAATATGAGAATGAAATTGATCAATGTTATAAAGAATTAAACAAAACGAAAGATTTGGTTTGTATCCCAATTTTTTTCACTTACATATACAATACGAGATTGACTTTATTTTATTGTATTTAAAAAGAGTATTACCAAAGAAACAATGTATGATAAAGAACTTCGACAAAACAAATTAGAAATCGAAAATTGTGAATATAAGGTTTTTATTATTTTTCCATTTTTTTTTTATTTAATATGACATTGCAGGACTGACTTTATTGATGTTAAAAGAGTAATATCAAAAATAATATTATATCGAAATGTGAGAAATTTGTAAACGATATTGACAAAATTTTCAATTGGGCATAAATTCGGTATTATATTATTTTTGTTGTATTGTCGTTCCGTTCCTGATGGCAATCATTATACCTAGATATATAAACCTTTTCATTATTGAATATAATATGAAAACGGACACAGCTCCTTCTCTCAGAATACCTCAATGTTTTTATAGGCTTTCATGTCTATGCATTTTACCTCTGGAATTTTATTTTTTGAAGAAAATATATTAATAAAGAATTCTTAATAATTTTTTCATTTTGTTGAGCATTTTCTCCTTCAAGTAAATGTCTATTTCCGTGTAATTGCCAGTATTGTGATCCTTTTTATGCGCGTGATATTACGCTTTATTTATCTTTATTTTTTTATTAAGCTCATTCAATTTCCTCACGAAGTCTAATATTTAAATAAAATCTAAACTTTACAACAGAACTATTTTGTTACTTTCTAACAAGTGTTGTCATTTTTTCCTTTGATGAACGATTGTTAGATTTCTTGCATTTATGATAAGGCCATGCAAAGTTAATTTATCGTTTTGCATAACCGTCTACCCAATTTTTCCAAAAAAACATTTTTTTTTTAACATCCAGGTGTTATTCTTTTCGATCTATTTGATTATTTGCATGAACAAAATACTTCGTCAATCTGACCCATTCCAACGAAGCTTATTTCTCAAAACTGAGCACTCACCCTAACCCTAACCTAATAAAAAAGTTTTGTTGGTCATCACGTGATCGTGAAAATTTTGGTGGCGATACTGGGGAAGATCGAATTTGGTCGAAAGTCACGTGATTTTTATTTTTGACTTTATTTTATGTTAAAAAAGTAACACCAAAGATAAGATTATTTTGAAATATGAAAAAATTTTGGCAATTAATGGTATTGTCGTTCCAGATAGCAATCATTATATCTAGATATGTGAACCTTATCTGTCATTGAATATAATATAAATGATTAGACGATATTAAAAAAAAATTTGGAATAAATTCGGTATTTGATTAATTTTAGTTGCATTTAAAAAAAAAAGGCTTTCGTGTCTATGCATTTTGTTACTTGCTTCCCAATCAAATTATGATTTAGTATATTCACGTGATTTCAAATACTAAGTATCTTAAAATTTTCTTAACCTCATTTAACCGTATTAATTACAGTAATTCAGCTGGCACTATAAAAATTTTTTATGTGGTTAGACGGTTCCAACTATAGTTGTCAGACGAAACCATGTAATGTTAATTATCACCTGTTATAAATACAAATACCTAAAATTTAAATCTAGTTTTTATTAAGCTTTGATGGTTGACAATTAGCATCACATAGTTTCGTCTAACAACTATAGTTCCAACCCTACTTTTTTGATACTAAATTGAGCAAATATACCGTACTCTATAAAATAACGAGTTTATTTATTTTCAGAAGGCAAATTTATATTATTGCCATTAACAATTTTTCTAATATTGATATTAATAATAAATGACAAATGACAAAATGAAAGAACAAATAAAAAGTACGTTCTATAATGACGAAATTATCAAGAGATCCTGACTGAGCAAAATGATAAATAACATTTTCAACTCCAAATAAAACTATAAAGAATAAAAATAATTAATACGGAATTGATTCAAAAAATTTAAATATAATGAAAAATTGGATAATACCTATTAAACAAAACCATCTCATGTATTTCAATTCAGAATACCGAGCAAAGCTAATGAAATTCAAAAATGAATAAAAGAAGAAAAAAATGCATATAGACAAAAAAAGTGTACATCCCAAAATTTTACGAAAAGATCCTGATTGTGCAAAATGATTGATTTTCGAGTCAAAAAACTTAATGAGTGTTATACATATACCCAATAACCAAATCAAACCAAGATAATTCGAATCAGAATACCAATCAATGTTAACGTTATTTAAGCAAGAAAAGCTACCATAGCTAACGAATAAATACCAATTCCACGTTGAAATCACAATTCTTGAAATCAATATCATATCTTTTATTACCCTTTTGTTGAGTAATAAAGTTACCAATGCACCAGGACCAAACATACAGAAATTAATTCTGAAGACATTTGCCACTTCTTCATGACTGTAAAATGTAAAAAAACATTAACTATATGAAGCAAAGCAAAAATAATGAAAGAAATAGAATTTACAGTAACAAAGGTCTAATTGATAATCCAAAGATTCCAGATACCTAAATGCAAAAAATACGAATTTAACCAAAAAAAAAAAAAAAAAAGACAGTAGTATAATTTAAAATTAAACATACACTAGAAATAATAACTAAGAAAAAAAATATAACACCGCAAAACCTTGAGTAAACTATTAGCAAATAGTCTCGTATGGCTTTTTCTTGATTTGAAAGTTGTGTACTCATATTGCTACAAGTTAGAATTCAAACCTGGTAAGTTTATATATACTCGGTAAGAATTATTTCATCATCTATATATATCTCATATATTATAGAATTATATTATACTGAGAAAATACGAGTAAACTAAAATATATTGCAGATCCTATATATTTAAGTTTTTATATACTGCCAGTAAGGATCTTATATATTATTCAAACTATTAAACTAAAAAGTATTTATTATAGTATATTGTAGATCTTTAAATATATTACAGTAATAATGTTCTAATCTTGTTTACACGAGAATTCTTCGAACAGAAATCTGATAAATTGACTCGTTTATTCCCTCGTCTATGGCAAGACAGATCCTTCTTTGAATACATAGGTAATAATTTTTACAGAAAACGCGCACAGAATTTAATTAGTGTAGATAGATGTATATAATATTTAGAATAAACGAACTGTTTGTAATAAATTTAATAATAACTCATTGCCTTACCTCTTTTATCTAGGAATTTATCAGGCTGAAATTAAGTTAAATGAATTTCGAAAATACTAATTTGATTCCAACCCAAGGTAACAGATTTTATTTTTGTTAACTGGAAGAATTCCTTATATCAACACATCCAATAATTTATGATTTAAAATAATTTTATTATTTGGAATTTTTGTGGTCATCACAACTGACAAATGAATCTTTAATAAATGAAGAAGCTTCTCAAGTTAAGAAATTTTAATTGATAGTAATATAAAGTGAAATTAATCATCTTGTTCATATAGATACAATTACTTCAGAAGATTCATTGATGAATGAATTAAAAAAAATTGGTGACAAAATCAACGCTCTTGATGTTCTTTTTACTAACACTCAATATAAATTTTATATATGGCCTTTTACTCTTTCATTTATATTTAATTTGTTTCTTTATTATTTTTATCACCTTTTTATATATATTAACACTGAATACACCTTACTAGATGCATGCACTCTTCATTATTTATATAAACTAATGTTTGACGTGAATATGTTTGAACCTAGATTAGTGAGAATTTTCAAAAGCAATTCTCTTTTGAGCTTTTTATTATTGAGTTAGTATAAACTATTATTTAGTTGATTTATTTTTTTTCGATTTAAATTATTTTAATTATTTAATATAATTGCAAGAAATTTACATATTTATTTATCGGCTTCTTAAAAATTTGTATTTCTTTGATTTAATTCAATTTTAATAAAATAAAAAAATTTAATTCAAAAAAAAAAAAATTTATTTATCTATAAACTAGCCAGAATAGTTAGCTGACCCAAATTAAGCCTTTTATATTTCATTCTCCGATGGCAACTAGAGGCCGTCAGAAAATGAAACTAGTACAAATAAATCTTAGTTCAAAATTTTATTCTTAATTTTTTGAAATTGAAATTTACTGTGCAGTTTTTGAATATTATTTTTCCTTTTCTTTTTTTATGTTTGTCTGAACTCTCTTTAGAACTTTCTTTGGTGTGCTTGGTTCTGAGAATTCAACCGGCAACCATGTTGAATCAATTGATTCCTCCTCGATAACTGGTAATGACTAGTTACTTGTTGTTTCTTCTGGTAGATTATTTGTTGAGTCAGCCTTATTACCAACATACTCAACTGACGCAGAATCAGGAATATCGGAAGAAGCAGCAACAGAGATCACAGCAACAACTAAAGAAGTAAAAGTTGTAGCTCTTGACGTAGATGAAACTGCGGCCAAAAAATGAATTCCAGGTGGATGATGACTTGAAGATGAAGTAGTTGTTGTTTGCCAGGGTTACTTGTTATTAGTCTTGGTTGATATTGGTTGTGATAAAAGAGATTATGTAATAGATATTTCACGGGCTGTTGTGAATATGATGGATTAGCACAGCGGAGCCGTGGTAATACATTGTGTTCATGATACACTGTGAAATATCTTTTATATCCCATGGTTCCTATGCCCGTAATATTTTTGATTAAAATTTTTACTGATTACGTCATGGCCGTGGAAAAATTTTTGATATTTTCACGGCATTACGTAATCATAAAAATATCATCAGAAATGTTCACGGGAGAACATTAGGGGCCATGGGATATGATAAAAAATAAACTAACAATATTTTTATATTAAATAATTAGAATACATTTTTATAGTCTGTTTATGACTCAGCAACTGAGTCATGATTCACAATATATAAAATTAGAGTATTTTTAATATTTTTATACAAAAAATAATGTAGTATACTTATTATATATATTGAATTGTAATACAAAGAACAAAGTGCGTTCTAATACACGTACTAAGTCTCAAAAATGCTGCACGTTATGTTGGGAAAATGTAAAAAAAATTTCTTTTTTTTTGAATAAACAAGTTTTTTTATAATTCACATTTAATTGCATTTGAAATACAGAATTATTATTATGTGAGAATAACAAAGAACAAACGCATTCCAATATGCATGCTAAGCCTCAATAACTGAGCGATTAATGCACATTTGCAAAAATCAGGTCTCAAGCAAATGTAAAAAATTTTTCTAGTTTTCTTTTTTTTATCGAATCATTATTCATGAAAATTAGTTATGCAGTGTTTAAATTTCAATGAATTTATTTAAAAATCGCATTTCTCAAAAATAAGTTGCAAAATAGATTTCTTCAATATTGTCTTACAATATTTTTATTTATTTGCTATTTAATTATCGATTTATCAAAAACTGAATCCACCCAAGAAGTGTTAAATGAATACCTAACCGAAGATGAATTTATTCATGAAATATATTATGAAGAGTCAGTAAATAAAACGAATGTTGCAGTAAATGAGCCGCCGTTACCATCAATTTCATGTGATTGGCCAATCACGAGAAAGCCCTCCTATATTCTACTATGTTAGATAAAGCGAAAGAATGAAATTTAAAGTCGAAAGAGATATGTGTAAGAAAAGTAGGTATAATTATGCTTTAAATAATTTCATTTAATGTTCTTCAATTTTTACTATAATATTAATATCAAAGTCTTTGAGTTATTCGTAGAAATTTTTATTAATTTGAATCACAAATAAAGTGAAAAATAAAATAAATTTACTATATCTTTGTAAAAGTAAATAAAAACCAATATCGACGTCTAATAAAATGTACCGTCCATTTTATCACCAGACTCATTCTTAACTATATAATTACTTGTACCAATATCTAAATATAATTCTAATTGATCAACCCTGTTTTGTAAATATTCAATTGTTGAAAGATACTCTCGTTGAGTTTGTTCATAATATCGCTTGTGCCCTTCGTTTTCTTTTCTAAATTGCTCGAGGTTATTCTTAGTTTCACTAAGTTCTGCTTGAAGTCGGTCGGTTTCTTGACATAAACTGGAAAAAATTTAAGAAATATTATTAAAGTTAAATAATTTCATTTATATATAATAAAAATAATTACCTTTTTAATTATAGCATCACTTTTCTTTTTTAGCTTCGAAATTTAAATAAATTTTTTCAAATAACAAAAGATTATCAGCACTTGAAGTCTCGGTAAATTCTTTCAACCTAGTAAACCATTCAATTCGACTTTTAATAGATTCATCTTCTCTTGGTACGCCACAGATTTCTTTAGAAAGACGCCTAATTTGATCTTTGATGTTTTTAACTATGACGTATCTATTAAATAATCTTGCTTTTCTTTTTACTTTTCTAGTTACTCGCCCACAATTTTTCGATAGATTTATTAATAAATTTCGATTCGATGCTGAATGCGGCTGATGCTGACAAATTTTTTTAAAAATTTTGTAGGGTAATTTTGTCCGTTTTTTTTAGAGTTGAGTTAGGGTTTAGGATTAGAATTAATTATTAAAGAATATATGTGGATGTTAGCAAGGCACATATTTTCAAATCGCGACCCCCAAATTTCAGCATCAGCCACAAATTTCACGCACCATTTCTCTTTTAAAGTAAAAGCATCCATTTTTTTTGCCTTATTCTTAATCTAGGACACTTTTACAACAGTTAATTGAGCTAATCTCAAAATAGAGATGTGATCCATTATTCACTGAATCGAAATTTATTAATAAATCTATTTGAATATTAACTGGATTTTAATAAATTTCGATTCAGTGAATAACAGGTCTCAAAAAATAAGAATACAAAAGAATCTTCATATAATCGAATTGATAATTGACAAAACAGTATTTATCGTAGAGATGATATCTGTTATTCACTGAATTGAAATTTATTAATAAAATCCAACAAATATAAATTTATTTTATTAGTAAATTTAGATTCAATAAATAATAGATCACATCTCTATAATTGTTAGACGAAACCATGTGATGCTAATTGTTACACATTGAAGCTTAATAAAAACTAAATTAAATTTTTAGGTCTTTGTATTTTGTTACAGGTGATAATTAACATCACATGGTTTCGTCTAACAATATACATCTCAAATTTATCACTACTGGTGATTATAAATTTTCAAGATACAATTAAAATTGTATTAAGCGAGGGCTAAAATAATTAACATTTTCTTTACTTATAATACAAATAGCAGATAAAGAAATAGTATTGCAGTAAATCTATGAAATATTTCTGATACAACTGCAATCCATTATAATTTTTATTTACTTTATTTCTATATTGGAGTCTGAAAAGAAAACAAAAGATTCATGCAAAAACAAAAGATATTAGTTTTTTAATGGTGTTCTATTCATATTTAAAATAAGATTATTTTTTTGAGTCTGTAATCTTCTTTTGTTTATTATATCGTTACTATGAAGTTTTCTTACTGTTTTCTCTGTTTTCTTTAATTTTGACTGTTTTAATTTTAAAGTTTGCTATTTAATAAATTTATTTCATATTAAAATTAATACTGTATCTATTAAGTCAATAGTACGTATTAAGTTCAGTAAGAATACAATAAATTTCTTCAAATAAATAACAATTATTTTCCTCTGATAGTATTGTGCAAGAATCAATTCTTCCAAAAAGATAGATTTCTTCAAACCAAAACATTGTATAAAAACTTATTTCAAGTTCTAGAAAAAAAATTTTTTAGTAATACGTAAATCAAGTACAGTAAATCAGTTAATTTTCATACCATCTTGTATAAATCCATACACAACCAAAGACTTTCTGTCATCATCATTAATATGTCTCCATTGTTTTAAAGTCTTATTAATCAAATTACGCATCATTATAGACAATTTGACTTTATCAAGATATTTTTTCTTTCTGCTTGCTATTGATAAACCAAAAGGCTCTAATCCTCCAGATACTTCTCCATATAAAGCTTCTAATTTACATGAAGTATTTTTTAATATTCCTTTCATGTTTGCTTTATGACCAATTTTAGCTCTTTGAAAAGGATTATTTGATTTATTACGTGCTTCATTTGTCACTAAAGACTGAATTTCTCCCCTAAAAATAAAATTACAAGGTTTGTTCTTAAAAATTCTTTTTATTTTTTTATTTTAACATTTTAGTGAAGTCATACCATTTATCTTTAATTAAATCTTTTGAAATTATTCCATGAATTAATGGAAATACTGTAGTCATTTTTAATTCCTACTCGCTAATAAATCTTAATCGATCTATACTAAGTTTGCTATAAAATAATTATAAAATAAAAATGGAATGTAAATTAAAATATATATATTATAACTGATAAAGATTTAAGATATAAAACCATACTTATATAAACTGAATATAAATATGTAATTCTTCAAATCCACGAACCAAATTTTCGCATTTACTGTTAAAGTACTCTTGTAATGCTTTGGGGGCTGTTTTTGGCAACTATGCAATCGTGTTTGTAAAAAGCTGCGATACTTCATTCAACAATTTATTATCAATATCTTTCCAATTGAACAAGCTTTCTTTAGTAAGGTCTAATATGCCCCAGTATGCTGGTCTATTAAGCATCAAGAATAAAGATATAATGATATTAACGATATTATGAGAATCAAATTATTATACATAAGAATCAAATTTATACCAGACTTATGTTACTACTTTTTTTGAACTAGGTATTAAATTTTGGTAATTTTTAAAAGAATTTTTTAATTTTTGAAAGTTTAACTAAAAATTGATTAAACAAATTATGAGTAAATTAAAATTCTAGAACTCTTGTTAAATATTTATTTTTACTTTCTCAAGTTCCAAATTTATTTCATTAAATTTAGAGAGATTCGTTTCTTCATTCAAGACATTATCATCTATCAAATGACTTAGTTCTTCTTCATTACCATCATTAAAAAGTGAACAATAATCCTCTGGCAATTGGTCATTTTCATTATTTATCGATAGTTCTGTTTTAAATATATTTGTATTATTACAATGGATATCAAAATTAAATCAAAGAATATATGATACCTCTTTTATTAAGGTTAAGCCACAAATTATTTACATCAATGCTACATTTAACCTTGAAAAATAAACTTAACTGTAAGAAATACTTAGTCAAAATTAACAGCAAGCACAGATTACATGTTACATATTATATGCCTCAGAGATAAAAACAAAAGAGCTGATTTAGCAATTTCCGTTGACATATATATCTCAGTGATAAAACAGTACCCGTCACTACATGTTAGATATAGCAAAAGACAGATACCTATTGAAATATTCTGAGTATAGTCACATTTATAAAAAATTATGACTTTACTGTGATAATTCATTAAGCATGAAAGTAGTATCTAATAACATGGCTTAGTGATACAAGTAGTACCCGTCGATTTTGTCGTGAGAAAAAACAGCACAGCAATGAAGTAGTATCCATTAACAATATAATATTCCCATGAAAAATGCACTCACCTTGGTATTCAAAATAGATCTTGCTTTCTCAACTTTCTTATTATCTCTACAGTTATTGACAATAGAACGCAGAATTCTAACTAGTGCATCATTTGCTTTTTGAAATTGAAGTTTTCTTGGATCGTCATTTTTGTATTTGTTTATCTAGGCTTCATGAAAATTTAAGATACTCCAAGTATCTGGTTCATTATCGTCGAAATAAAAATTTTTTTTATTTGTCATTATGTAGAAAAGGAGAATTAAGTAATGATTTGTTTTGATTTTCGAATTTATTTAGATCGTCAATCAAAAATCACATGATCAACTTGAATACCTATAATTGTCGTTTAAAGCAGGGTGCAATCACATGATATGGTGCCAATCAACTTGTTTGTTTTGATCAACCCGGATCAGCCCAACAAAGAAACAAAGAAAAAAAAAAGTAAAAAAACACAAAAATACAAGAAACGAGTGTCAAAACCTACCTTGGGGAATTAACAAAAAATGTCGAGAAGGCAATTTTACTATAATATCACACCTAACCCTAACCGCTAACTAACCCTTACCCTAACTTTAATTAAAAAGTCAAAATCATATGACTGCACCCTGCTTTAATATGAAGCTGAGCGCTATAAGGATAATAGATTTCATGAGAAGAGTTAAAGAAAAATACTGTAGCATACTTTAACTTTGTAATGATTGTTAAATAGAATTAATTAGTTTGATATTAGAACGAACATCATAAGTTATTTTTTGCATTTTTTTTATTGTTTATTAGCATTATAGGGTAGGTTTAATCATTTTTTTTTGTATTTTTTATTTTTTGTTTCTTTTCTTTCTTTGATTTGTAATATATTGAAGTTTTTTAATAAAATTTTAGTATATTGGAATTTTTCTGATTTTGTTCGGTTTTGTTTGTAATAAGATTATAATTTTAGGGTTTAAATTATCGAGATTTTATAGTAAAGACTTCTGCTAGTATTAACTTGATTATAGATATAATCACAAAATTTAATATTCTTTATTTTTTTTACAATTCACGAATACATAAACCAAAAAAATTTTTTGCAAAAAATTTCTATGAAAAAAAAACATTATCAAGAACCAATCTTGAACCTTTCATCCTATTTTTTATGAATATTTTTCATTAATAATTTTCTTACTTCAAACTCTTCAAATTCAAAATCATTACCAATACTCTGAAATGAAGTTAAGGTTGTATTCACTTTAAGGGATTCAAATAAAATTTTCCTATATTAGCTCCAATTTTATTAAATGAAATATTTAAAAATGTTAAACTATTATTTTTGTGAAGGGTATCAGCTAATGCTATTCTACTATCGGGTCTGAGTAGGTTATTAATCAGCTTTAAAGTAGTTAACATTTTGTTTTCGCAAAGAGCTTCCAATAACGCTTTTCTTCCATCAGAGCCAAGCTTATTGAATGAAAAATCTAAAGATGTTAAAGCTTTATTTTTGCAAAGTGTATCTGCTAATACATCTCCAACAATGGATACATCAGAGCTATCTGCTAGTGCATTTCCCAAGATTAAACATATCTTTCTTGTCAATCAAATTTGCAAATTTATTCATCGAGAATTCCCGATTTTCTCTTTTTAAAAATGTTTTGTGTGATCTTACAAAAGAATATTCGTATAAGATGCAATTAACTATAAAAAAGATCTTAAAATCAAGAATTACTTATTATTACAAATCGAACATTGTTTTTTAAATTTTGTGGTCATATCAATTCATTCTTTATTTACAATAACTTTGTTAACTGATTTAAATTTACTAAATTGAAATAAAGATATAAGGGAAGAAATCATGATTAATACTGTTACAGAGTAGTAGCCTTCTTAATTTACTCTATAACGACGACACGGCACAGAGAATCCTTTCGTAGGTATATGCGGTGTCCAAGAGGTAAGTATAGCTTCTTTTCTCTTTAAGAAACTATACCCTTCTC